TGTAAACTAGGCACGAGTTTTCCATTCTTCAGTCAACTGATAATAAGGAACTCCCCATGAGGACATATATGCAGACTCGGAGATGGAAGGTAATGTGACAGAGGAGTGGAGACCATGGGAATTTGGGCCACTTCCTCATGCAACTTACTTGTGCCTTCGGGTCCTGCTCGGGCCTGATCTTGTATATACCACTTCCATTTAATGATGGAGTGCTGCTGGTGCATGCCCAACTTTATGACTCTGAGGGTCAGACAACACCCAGTTTATGATGAGCAGTTCAGGCCGCATAGTGACTTGGTGTCCCATAGTTAAACATTCAGTCTCTACTAAGGCTCAGTAACAAGCCAAAAGCTGTTTCTCAAAAGGAGAGTAGTTATCTGCAGAGGATGGCAGGGCTTTGCTCCCAAATCCTAAGGGCCCACCCTGTGATTCACCAATAGGGGCCTGCTAAAGACTCCAAACAGTATCTTTGTCTGCCACTGACACTTTAAGCACCACTGGATCACCTGGATCATATGGCCCAAGTAGCATACTGGCTTGCACAGCAGCCTGAACCTGTTGCAGAGCCGTCTCTTGTTCTGGGCCCCACTCAAAACTAGCAGCCTTTGAGTCACTTGATAAATAGGCTGGAGAAGCACATCCAAATGAGGAATATGTTGCCTCCAAAATCCAAAGAGGCCCACTAGGCATTGTGCCTGCTTTTTAGTTGTGGGGGCAGCCAGATGCAATAACTTATCCTTCACTTTAGAAGGAATATCTTGACATGCCCCACACCACTGGACCCCTAGAAATTTCACTGAGGTGGAGGGTGCCTGAATTTCTGTAGGATTAATTTCCCACCCTCTAGCACGGAAATGTTTTACCAGTAAGTCCAGAGCCATTGACACTTCTTCCTTACTAGGTCCAATCAGCATAATGTTGTCAACGTAATGGACCAGTGTGACATCCTGTGGAAGGGAAAGGTGATCAAGGTCCCTGAGGACTAAATTATTACGTAGGGCTGGAGAGTCGATGTAGTCCTGAGGTAGGCAAGTGAAGGTACATTGCTGGCCTTGCCAGCTGAAGGCAAACTGCTTCTGATGGTCTTTCAAAACAGGTATGGAGAAAAAGGCATTAGATCAATAGCTGCTTACCAGGTACCAGGAGATTAATTTGCTCAAGCAATGAAACCACATCAGGAACAGCAGCTGCAATTGGAGTCACCACCTGGTTAAGTTTTCGGTAATCCACTGTCATTCTCCAAGATCCATCTGTTTTCTGCACAGGCCAAATAGGCGAGTTGAATGAGGATGTGGCGGGAATTACCACCCCTGCATCCTTCAAGTCCTTGATGGTGGCAGTAATCTCTGCAATCCCTCCAGGAATGCAGTTTTGCTTTTGGTTTACTATTTTCCTAGGTAGGGGCAGTTCTAATGGCTTCCACTTGGCTTTTCCTGCCATAATAGTCCTTACTCCATTTGTCAGAGATCCAATTTGAGGGTTCTGCCAGTTGCTGAGTATATCTATTCCAAGTATGCATTCTGGAACTGGGGAAATCACTACAGGATGAGTTTGGGGACCCACTGGACCCACTGGGAGCCAAACCTGGGCTAAGACTCCATTAATTATCTAACCTCCACACACCCCTACTCTGACTGGTGGGCCACAGTGATGTTTTGGGTCTCCTGGAATTAGTGTCAGTTCAGAGCCAGTATCCAGTAATCCCTGAAAAGTCTGATTATTTCCTTTTCCCCAGTGTACAGTCACTCTCGTAAAAGGCCATAGATTCCTTTGGGAAAGGCTGGGAGAAAGATAAACGGTAAAAATTTCTGGCAGTGTATTGGACTGGAGTCCTACCTCAAGGGGATCCGGCCTCCCCTTCATTCAAAGGGTTGTGGGTCTTTGAACTCGCTCAAATTTGGGGACTGAGGGACAGTGACTCTATTGTGGCGATTCGAGTTAGACTGCTATTCACCCGACCTAGAATTCATCAGTTTATACAGACCAAGTAAATATTTAGTAGATTTCCTATCTATTTTACTCCTAGGGACACCATGACTAAGTAGCCAATGCCATAAGTCCACAGGAGCCAGACTATTCTGATTACTGCTTTGACTCTGCTCTCCATTACAGTAACAACGCCCACCTTGTCTTTGTCCATTGAGTGCAGCCACTTGGCCCCTACCACCATGGGGTATAATCAGCCTTACTGTAGTTAGGTGTCTTAATTCAGTTAGGGCAATTTCCACAGCCAAATCTGATTTACATAAAATAGCAATCACAGCAGTATTCAAGGATGCTGGAGCTCCCTTCACAAATTTGTTCCTCAAAGTTGTGGTAAAAGGTGTGTCCTCTGGGCACACCATGCGTGGGTCTGTGGGTCTAACCCAATATATTTACTCTAGCATGCCAATTTTCCTTAGCCTTTGGATACCTTCTTCTACAGTATACCAAGGCAGGTCTAGTACTTCAGCTTGATATAGTGTAGGCCACCTCGTAATCCATGCTTCAGCAACCCAACCAAATAAACTATTAGATCCTTTCTTTACTTCTTCAGCTGAAACACTGAATGAAGAATCTGTGCTTAGTGGGGCCATATCAATAAACTCAGACTGATCCATCTTTATGTTCCTTGCGCCATTATCCCACACCCTTAATAGCCATTCCCACACATATTCCCCAGGTTTCTGTTTGTACATATTAGAAAAGTCAAGCAGTTCTTTTGGAGTGTAGTGTGCCTCCTCCTGGGTCACACTTTGCACTTCACCTTTTGGGGCTCTCTGGGACTTAAGTCTAGTTACAGGTTTAGAAACCAGCATCTGTAGTGTGGAATTGTTTTGTGAACATTTAGCATTGTCTTGCAAAGCATCTGCCTCAGGCGATGCCGATGCCGCAGGCAAGGGCTCTTTAGAGGCAGCTGGGCTAGGGCTGATCTCCGCAGATGAGAGTGGAGGGGCTAATGGTTTTTCTTGGCAGGGTGGTTTAGCAGATGAACATAAAGTAATCTCTTCAGATGGGAGTGGTTCTGCTGGCAGGAATGATTCAATGGGATTTAGGGGCTCCGTGTTCCCAGCTTCCTGATTATCTGCCCATAGGTCCCCATCCCAAGTTTTAGGATCCCATTTCTTCCCAATCAATGCCCTTACTTTAACCTCAGACACCTCTCGAGGTTGGCAAATGAGCTGGTGTTGTAATTCAGCTGCTTTTCCAGTAAGATTCTGGGTTTGGTTTTTGGCAATTTCAGCTCTGTTACTACAAGAAATAAGGCTTTCTTTCAAAGCACAAGTAGAAAACTTGAGGTCATTTATGTGGCACTTGGGCTTTGACTCGGAAGCCTTGAGTGCATCTCTTTCACCAGTTTGTCTAGCAAAAGTAGGACCAATCAATCAGCTTCCCTATACTTCTCAGTCTGACAAAAATGTAGAAAGATGTCACACGTGTTCATCCAGAGCCTTACCTTTCACCAATACCTGATCTACTGGTGGTGATGTTTTTTGTATTTGTATTGCCACCTCACACCATGGATTAGCAGTGCCCTCTTTGCTGCTGGAAACAGAGTCATCAACATCTTTAAGACTAACCGGACTTGAGAACCAATTTAGAAAACTCATTCTTACAATTTTGTTTCTCTAGAACCACTCTCAGTAACAAATGTCTTAGTCTGGGTTCTCTAGAGAATCAAAACGAGTAAAGTGTATAAATAGATAGAGAGATCTATATCCAGGAAACGGCTCTCGCCATTGTAGAGGCTGGATCGTTCCAAGTCCGTGGATCAGGACAGAGGCTTCTCCTGTTTCACATAGCCCTAGGGGCTGGCGAACCCAAGATCCAAGATCGGCAGGTCAGAGAGCAGGGCTGTTGCTCACAGGCTGTATAGATTGATGAATCCCAAGATCGGCAGCTAAGCTGATAGCTAAAGTCCCAAGAACTGGCGGTCAGATGAACCGGAGGCAGCCTCAGGCTCCAGAGCAAGCAAAATAGCCAGAACGTCTGCTTACATTCAGATGCAGGCCACACCCCTAAGGAAACTCCCTTTCAAATGACTGGCTACTCACAGCAGATTCTATCATAGGAGTGATCACATACAAACACTGAGAACCATGGCTCAGTCAAGTTGATACACAACCTTAACCATCATGGGGCTCTGGAGACAGGCCAGACGAAATGTCTCCAGTTCGGGAGACCAGTTCAGGAAACTGCCATACTCCACGCTGAAAAAGTAGAAGGCTCCTTGAGGCTGTATCTTGCCCAGCATACAGAAGGCATCTCACCTGCCTTTTTCCAAAATACATCTATCCATTCCTTCTTTGTTTTAAATTTAGATGTAAGGCACCAGCCAGTTATGCTCCTGTCCCTTCTCCACAGCCTGACATGTGTACCCTTCCGGAGATGAGGTGTGGTTGTACCTGGTGCCCTTCTCCAGGACCACAGGTTTCAGAATTGCAGAACTAGAAGGACCTTTAGGATCACAGAAGGCAATACCCTCATTATGTATGTTAGTACAGCAGACCAGAAGTAGTGCCTTGCCCCAGGCCACACAGCTAAAGTCATGCGACCAGAGCTCAGACCTAGGACACCTCCAATCCCCAGTTCACTTCCACAACACTCAGACATCAGACAGACTTTGCTCCAAGATCAGGCATCTCAACTACAGGCATCGTCAATTCTTCCATCACCTCCTGTCCCAGTCAAGAAAGGATTCATGGAGAAACCATACAACATACAATATTCTTTGACATTTTGCAATTTTCCTCCCAGACTTCCCTATCTTTGTGGCCACCATATCAAATCATATAAAACTACAAAAAATCATGTTTATATTCTGAAACCAAGTGACCTGATGATTTCCCTCTAAAGGTCAGTTTATCCTCACCAAATCAAACTTCTCTAGGATTCTTCCGTTAGGAGTTTTCAGGAACAGTCACTTGTCTGGGTCCAAGGTGGCCAAGTGTAGAAGAACAGCGCCAAGGAACCTGACCAGACAGCTCCCTCGGGTGGAGTTAGACGCATCAGTGCCAAAGCAATGGCTCTAAGTATAGAATCAACCAAACCACCTTGGTGCTGGTTAGATTTTATTTTAACAGGATGTTTTCTGTTCATTTGTTTTTCAAAATATCAGTTATATCAGTATTAGAAGTGTAAACAGGTACAAAATATACAGTACATAGAAACAATTTTCTTAACTAGTCTATTGCCTAATAAAAGTATGCATGAGGTTGCTGAATGAAGGAAATTCCTGGTCTCTCCTTCCTGCAGGGGAAACAAGGTACCCATTTTGGGTAAGAGGACCAGTGGCTGCTTCAACAAAACAACGGATATTCACGTGGTCAAGACAGCACTGTGGGAGAATCAAGAAATCTGGGTCCGTTTCTATTTCCACCATGAAAATGTTAGACACGAAGAACAAGCAAGCCACTTATCCTTCCCCAGCTTCTCAGGCTTTGCCTCCCAAGTGCCCCTGACCAGAGAGCAAGCTCACACACACACCAAGGGCAGGTGTTCAGGGAAGCAGTGCCTGTAGGCCTGATGATCTCACCCACGCCAAGTGTGGGACGGCTCTTAATAAGGCCAGCGTTAAAACCTGTCTCCCCCAAGCTGATGTCCCAGCACAATGGGCTGTGTCCACCCTGTGGCTCTTCACGCCTCGTGGCACACCACAACGTACCCAGTGAGGAGCTGCGATGTGTCCTCTTTGAGCAATTTATTTCTTCAGCTCTAAAAAGAAATCACACCTACCCTGCCTGCTGCACAAAGTCACGGTAATGACCACATGAAATGCAATGTGAAAGCATTTTGGAAAAAAAAAAAAAACCTACACAAAGAGGCAAAGAAGAAGAGCCTTCTGCTGGAGTGGAGGGCGGCCTCCTGCAGGCAGCAGGCCCTGCCTCATCCGGCTCTGCCAGGGACGGGATGTGTTGGGCCCAAGCCCCCAGCCTCAGTTCTCCCCCTGTCCAGATCTAATACCACGTTTCAGACCGCTCTCCCCAGGAGGCCCAGGAGTTACGTAAGCGCGGCGTGGCCACGCCCCCTCCTGGTAGGCGGTGCAGACAGCTGTAACAAGGAAAACACACACAGGACAGGCCTTTTCAGATGGAGAGGGAAGCTGAGAAACAGCAGGCTACTTTGGGGAAGTCTTTCTCCCAACTGAGACGAGGCTGGGGCTCCCTGGCACCCGGCTGCCCTCACAGGGGCTCCGAGCCCCAGGCCTGGACCAGCCCACCCCTGGCATGGTGTGATACCCCATTCCGAGGAGTCACCTGCTAGCAACCCTCGACTGTCAGACTCGGTGAGGACCCAGCGGACACCAACACATGCTTCAAAAACCCAAAGGATGCTGCAAAATTTAAACTGGTGCTACTACGGTTTTCCCGCGTTATCCTCAAGGATTAAAAAAGTCTCGTAATTAAATTACTTAAGATTCTATGGTGCTCAGTTTCACAATCAGAGAACTCTGCTTTGTTTATAGCTGAAAGCTGTATTGTTGATTTCCTTCTCACTGATCAGCGCTCAGCAACGCCTGAACTTGGTTCTCCCAGTCTCCCATCTCCGCCTCTACGCGGCGGGTCTCCCCCTGATGCCTGGAGATACTCCTTCCATCTCGTGCGCCTGCGGGAGCCCCAGTGGCCGGCTGCCTCGGTGGGGCTTCACAGGTTACTGCCGTCGGCAGGCCCCAGGACGCTGAGACCACAAGTCCAGTCTGTCACCAGGTCTGTGGTGGTCCCCGGCCCTTTGGAGCCAGGGCTCTTGAAGGGGTCCGGCGGCGCGGGTGGAAGGGGCGGGAGCGGCTGACCTCGGGCCGGCGCCTTCGCGCCCGCCGTGTGGTTGCGCTGGTGCTTGCGCAGGTGGTCCTTGCGGATGAAGCTCTTCCCGCAGACGGTGCAGGCGAAGGGCCGCACGCCCGTGTGCGTCCGGTAGTGGTCGATGAGCTTGGAGCGCTCCGTGAAGCGCTTCTCGCACTCGGTGCAGGGGAAGGGCCGCTCGCCCGTGTGCAGCATGCGGTGTCGGATGAGGTGCGCCGGCCGCGTGAAGCAGCGCCCGCACTCGCCACAGCGCAGCGCGCTCCCATCCCCGCGCGAGCCGCTGCCCGCCGCGCCCGTGGAGCCAGCGGTACCCGTGCCCGCGCCCGACCCGTTGGGCAGCCCGCAGCTGCGCTGGTGGGCGGCCAGGCTGACCTGCAGCTGGAAGCTCTTCCCACACGTGGCACACGTGAAGGGCCGGCCTCCGGGAGGCGCTGCGGGGTGCTTCTTCAGCCCGGGCTTGTGGCTGAAGCCCTTTGTCCAGCCCGGGTACTTACAGGGCTCACCGAAGGGTCTTGGGGCCTGGCCAGGGTCCAGGACAGCCTCCCCACTGTCTGGTGAGGGGTAAGGGAGCCCCTCAGGCCCAGCCCTTGGGTTCAGGCCCACAGAAGGTTTGCACCTGAAGTTCCAGCCCCACCGCACCCCACTGAGGAGCCAGTCCCCGACAGGGGCTTCCTCCTGGGCCACAGCGGGGCTGAGCTCACGGACTTCCCGCTCCGGCCGGTCCGGCTCCCTCAGCCCCAGCACAGGGTCCTGGCTGGGAAATGAGCTGCCCTGGCTCTCCCAGGCCCCCTCCTGGACAGGGCTGGGGAAGAACCTCGTGGCCTGGCCTGGTCCAAACAGGCTTCCGTGGGCTTCCAGGTCAGTGGGGTGCACTGGTGTGGCCACCACCTCCTCCTCCTGGACCTCTGTTTTTATCACGATTTTTACATCTGCTGAGAAAGACAGAAAAACCAGGTGTCATCTGTCCCCTCCCTACTTGGTCCCCCAGCCACCACTCTCAGGACTGCCACCCGAGGCCACCACCCAGGAACCGTGAGGACACCTGTACTTGGCCTCCACCAAGGACAAGCAATGATCAAATCGCTTTTTGGGTCCCATGAACCGTTGGCTGTTAAGGCTCATCATGAATTTAAGAAACAATTCTGACAACTGGTGGCACGTACCCAAGGGGCGAAGGTGCTGGGATTCAGGGGGATCTGAGGTCCTACCTGGCTCTGCCCCACACCACCTCCTCTGCGGTGTAACGCGTCCAGAAGTGCTTAGCACACTGCTGAGCATACAGCAAGTGCCCAACAAATGTACCAGCTAGCTAATGGTAAAAATACTACTCAACAGGTAAAGGGGTACTTGATTTTTCAGAAATGCATTTGAATTTCACGCCTTGAAGTTTTGTATCAGAGATCTAGGCTCTTTTTTTTAAATACATTTTGGTGCTAAATATGGCAGGGATCATTACTTAAAGTAACAGATCACTGGCTTTCAAAACAGAAGGAAACAGGAAATTTGTACATACATTTATGGCTGTTCTTCCCAATTCTGGCCTTTAGACACCTGCCTTTAGTAGTAACAAGTACCTAAGAAACGGTTTTTGTTCTGTTTTGTTTTGCGTGCTAGAGAGGAGCCCATGGCTACTGGAGTCTGGGAAGGAGGTGTATCCTCTCAAGGAGTCAGCTTATCAGGGTAGACCAGTTAACACCATGTGAAAGGCGATAAAGGACAGAGTGTACAGAATCACAAGACTATGGAAACCTAAATGCCTGTTGGCTGACAGGTCTGGACAGCTCTCCAAAAAAAACGAGTGTGTCTGGGATGTCTGGGGCAAGGCGTCCCGCATAGGCACATGGGCAGCCCACCCTCCTCCCCCAGCCCCCGCCTACCTTCCGTGGACGCCGCAGTGTTGAGCTTCAGAGTTCCATCTGAGCAGGCCGAGGAAGGATGGTGCGGGGGGAGGTCTGCCTGCCAGGAGCTGGGCGGGATAGTGGTGGAAAAGCTGGAATGGACGCCTGGAGGGAAAGGACCAGAGCTTGTGGGTTCAGGGAAAGGAGGGGGACAGAGAGAAACTGCAGAAGGATGAGGGGTGAGCTGAGACACCCTGCAAACAACCACGACGGCCCGGTCTCTCCTGAACCCACCTTCTCTCACCCCCTTCTCTGAAGCACGCGGAAGCTCGCCTATCACAATCAGACGAGGCGGCTAGTAACTGAAACACCCGGTGTTGGGAGAGGAGGAAGAAGAGGGCGAGGCAAGGATGTGGACCACAGCCAGGATCACAGCATCGCCGAACCAGGTGGGCCTCACGTGAGCCAGATGCTTGGAGAGCCCATGACACCCCTCAGCGCTCCCAGAGTCCTTTCCCCTCTGCCTGCCCCAGTCCCCCCAGTGCTCCCCGTCCTGGCCACTCACCAGGGGTAGTGTCCGTAGAGAGGTCTCCTGCTCCTGAGTCCAGCTGGCTCAGGCCCCAGGGCTCCTCCCCGATGTCCGGCTGCCCAGCTGCCCAGGCCTCCACCCCCAGGGCCTGCTGCTCCTGGAGCTGGAGCTCGCCCTCCTGCTTGATCTGCATCAAGAGGTCAGGAGCAGGAACGGGGGGCCCAGAGCCTAGGAAAGGGAGAGCGCATGAGCCAACAGCAACAGGGGACCCACAAAGCCAGGAAATGGACACAGGGGCCTTACAGGGGTCAAGGAGCAAAGGGCCTACTGGAAAGAGAAGGCAATAGTAAATGGGCTCCCAGGCCTTCTGGGCAAATCCTGATGACACATGATCCTGGGAACATAGGCAGGGTGAAGGGGAGGAATAGGGAACAAGTCCTCAGGCCAATGTCTGCTTGGTGGGGAAGACGGCTAACAGCAGGAAGTCCTCTCTCCCACTCTAAACACAGGAATCCAGACAAAATTTAACCCAAAGTCCCCCAAAGCCCGCCCCCCCCCCACATATTTAAGTGAGCTCAAAAGAAATATTCCAGATATAAGAATCAAAAAGAAGATACAAAGTCAAACCAAGGTTACAGCAGAGGCCAAGTGGCCCACAGGGTCTTTGGAGTCAGTTACAGGCCTTAAGGCTGGGGTTTTAGCATCCATGAGGCAAAGAGCAGAAGTATCCAATTCTCTAGGGCCACAGGTGGGAAAGTCACCCACAGGAAATCCAAGGCCCATGTCCACACTGAATTCACACTATCCACATGGGACAGAAACCCTAGGCTGAGAAATTCACATACAAATAGGCTGAGAACCATGGAAACTGATGGGGTTCCAAAACAGGCAAATACAAAACTGCCCTGTAGTGACACCTCACGGCACAGGTCCTCAGGGACTCCCACTAAAAAACTGGAATTACAAACCGGAAGAGCAGCCAAAGGGCCCTAGGAGTCAGCAAATAAAACATGGGAGAAGGCACTCCCAAGAACTGCAGAAAGAAGGCTAAGCTGAATGATACGTAAAGTAAGTATGCATAAAACAGCCAAAGAAATGGGAGCAACAGGGTCTCTACAGCAAGAGTTATTTTAAAAAAAGCAACTTTGAAAGAACTTAATAGACATTCTAGAAAGGACAAAAGCAGTCACTAAAATGAAAATTTCAATGGATGGTATAACAGATTGAACATAGCTGAAGAGAAAATCAATGACTTGGAAGCTGGGTCCAGGGAGAAAATCCAGAGTACAGTAATGAGACATAAAGAAATGAAAAACACGAAAGAGAAGTTAAGAGACAAGGGGGACAGAATGAGGAGTTCCAATATAAGCTGGTAGAAATTTCTGAAGGAAAGAATAGAGAAATGAGTAAATAGCAATACGAAGCAATGGCTGAGATTTTTCCAACACTGAAGAAATTATAAGTCCATAGTTTGAAGCAGGAAACAAAAATATATAAACCTAGACAACATTTGTGTGAAATGGAATAAGAGTAAAGTCAAAATCTTAAGAGGTACTAAAGAAAAAACACTGAGATGCAGACTGAAAGCAGATTTCCATCAGCAATTATGCTACCAGGATATAACGAGATGTCTTCAAAATGCTGAGAGAAAATACTTGTCAACTCATCTTATGAGGTCAGTACAATTTTGAGAGCAAAACCTAGAGGACAGTATATAAAAAAAATTATATAATAATCTCATTGATAAACACATATGCAAAGATTCTAAATGAAATATCAATCAAACCCAGCAATGTATTTTTAAAAAAGAAAAAAAGGCAATACATTACAAACAGATTGGGTTTGTCCCAAGAACTCAAGGATAAGTTAACACAGTAATACAATTCACAAATTTAACAGAGTATTTAAGGAAGAAATTCTTTTTATGAATTAATGGGGACAAGGATATAATCACCTCAACGGATGCAGAGGCAGCATTCAGCACTTCTATTTCAAGCATACAGCTGGCTAGATATGCAGAGAAACTCCTCCCAGAGTAGTAAACATATAAAAATGCTGGGTAAAGTACAAAAACATATTTTTTAAAAAACATGGATGACCTGGAAATAAAGTAAGAAAAACAAACAGAGGGAGACTGTAAGAAAGCCCAGTACTACTACGGTAAATGTGCCTTTGGTGTCTCCTGACCTCCTAGGGCCCAGGTTTCAACGGAACATGCACATTTAGGGTAGAGGACTGTGAAAAGCCTGGGGCTCAAGCAGGGCGGGAGGGTGGACTGAAGACCCTCCACCACCATACATCTAAATCCAGGGCCCCAAAGGGCAACATTCCCAGTGGATTAAATAAGACAAAAACAAAAGTGAAAACCTGCCCTGCAGGAAACTTGCCTGGCCTGGCCTTGGCTCTAGGCTGAAGGGGAAGAAGACTCTCCCCTGGGAGCTGACAAACCCCAGCAGGCACTCACACCACCAGTGTGGCCAGAAATCTCTGGGCCAAGACTCTAGCTTGAAGTGGTCCCAGGTCTGCACTGGCACCTGATGGCCAGCAGAGGCAGAAATTTATATTCCCAGGAAGACTGGTTTAAACACAGCTTTCAAATAACTAATGAGCTCACAAATCAGTCACCAAACCAAGAAACTGACCATCTCAAACAAAGTCAGTAAAAATCAGAAACTGTAGAATCTGGCCCATAAGGACTTTGGATATTGGAAATCTCACATATAGGATACAAATTTTAACAGATTTAGAGAAATGAAGAGGAAGAGTGAAAGTATGAAAAACAAACAAGGGACTAGGAAAACCGGCTGATCAGATTTTGAAAAAGAGTCAAATATAACTTTAGAATTGAAAGATGAAATTACTGCAATAAAAATCAAATCTGTGGGTTAAAATGCAGAACGGCACAACTGAATACAGAATGGTGAGCTAACTAGAAGACAGATCAGAAGACATTATTCAGAACTCAGAATAGAGACAGAGGTGGAAAACAGAAACAGAGGCTCAGAGATATGAAGGCTAAAATGAGAAAGTTCCAGAAGAGAATACAGAATGGTAGCAAAGCTTATTCAAAGCGATGGCATTGTGAATTTTCCCAAATGGATGAAAAATATCAATGATTAAACCAGGATAAAGAAATCCACACCAGACATACAGTAGTAAAACTGCAGATACCAAAGACAGAGATCTAAAAGAAGCCAGAGAGAAAAGGCAGATTAACCACAAAGGGACAATGATTACACTGGCAGACAGCCTCTCAACAGCAACAACAGAGACCAGAAAAAAAGGTCAAATGATCTTCAAAGTGCTCAGAGAAGATAGCAATCAACCTAGAATTATGTCTTTCAAGATAGGGATAGAATAGAGAGATTTCCAGACAAATATGAACTCATATACAAACACACTAACTCAGAATTCATTACCAACAGACCCAAAAAAGAACTACTAAAGGATATATTTTAGGAAGAAAAAAAAATGGTTCAAACACGTGGCAACAAATGATTTATGTTCTTTAACTCTAACGGATTTACATGAAATTTGCTTCCTGGATGACTCTCTGTAAAGCTATGAATGAATCAAATTTTTGTCTTCATATACTCCCACCTCCCCTGTCCTTCCTTTTCCCTGCATTCTGGGCCACTGGCTCTGTCTCCTTCCTAGAAGACCATATTTTCTGTCTGCTTCCATCCTGAAAAATATTAGTTTCCAGAGTGTTAGCTGAATAGTTAGTTACCGGTTCTAACTGAACTGTAAAAAACCTTCAGTTTCAAAACATTCCAGTTTGATATTCTTCTTGGCTCTCTCTGGAAGGATCACACTCCCTGGCCCTTGACTTTTCTGTTTCCATCTGATTACCTGGTATCTCCCTGCCCTTCTCCCAGCCCCTCACCTGGACTAGGATCCACAGGAACATCTGGAATCTTGGGGCCAGTGCGACGCCAGTTACATGGTTCTTTCCCTTGTTCAATTTGGGAGAGGACCTCGGGCTTGGATATAGCATAGTCTGAGGGAAGACAGAAAGGTTAACTTCTGCCATATTCAATTCAGAGCTGGGGACAGGCAGCCTGGGAAGTTGGCCAGAAACCAAGAATGACCTAGAAGCAAAATTTCTTGATTGGTATAGAGCAGTGGTTCTCAGCCTGAGGTGATTTTGCCCTCAGAGGACATTTGGCAAAGTCTGGAGACATTTTTGGTTGTCACAACTGGGGTGTGGCCAGTGGGTAGAGGCCAGGGATGCTGTTGCTGAACATCCTACAATGCACAGGACAACCCCAATAACAAAGAACTATCTAGTCCAAAATGCTAACAGCTGAGGCTGAGAAACCCTGGTAGAGCCTCCACATTAAGAAACAATATATTTCTGCAAATTAAAATATGTCCTTGTGTCTGCACTGGCCCCCTTCTTACTAAGCATGCATTGTCGTCTTCAGACCTGGGGTCACATGTAGAAACCATAAGAAATAAGCCCAGGAACAAACAGAGTGCAGGCTCTTACTGGGCAGTATCAAGTGAGGAGAGCAGCAGTAGCCCCAAGGTGTGGGTGGAAGCAAAGCCTTGGGCATGAAGAAAATGTGTGCAGCAGCAAGAAGCGTGGTCTGCTCTACTCCCCACTGGCCCTTGAGGAGAGTCATGTAAAGCCACACACTGCATGTATAACCGCTCAGAGAAGGCTAAAAGAGAAAGTGGAGTCAATGAGATACTGAATATGAGAGCAGTAGGAGCCCTTTCCACTCCAACTCTCAGCAACGAGAACAGAAACTTTCATGCCCTGGGCCTGGAACTCCATGAGCTTCAACCATGGTGGAAGGGAGCCTCTGACTCAACCATCTGGGCTCCTCACAGGAGACAGAGATAGCTGCTTGCATGGCCAAAGTTCCCAGTGATTTACTGATCCCTAAGATGAGAAACTGGCAAGGAGAGTCGAGGATGCCCCAAAATCATACTCAGCAGAGAAATGAGCATCAGGCCTTACCCAGGGAGACCAGCGTCTCGTAGTTGCCCCTCATCACATGCTTGTAGAGTTCTTTCTGCCACTCGTCCAGCTGTCCCCACTCCTGCTCAGAGAAATACACGGCCACATCATCGAAAGTCACGGGCACCTGGAACCACAAGTGCCACACGCGCTCACACACACACTTACGGGCTCGGCCGCTATGGCTCCCCCACCCCAGGATGCCCACGAGCTGACCTTGGGCACCTCGCCCTTGCTCCCCGGGGGCAGCCGCAGGATCCAGAAGTTCCTGTTGCGAAGCAGGTTCTCCATGTTCTCCAGCCGCCTCTGCAGCAGCCCGTACTCCTGCAGCAGCGTCCCCAGCATGGCCCACTTGCCCTCCAGCTGGTTCCCGAACTCCACGGCCGTCTTCTCACAGTCGGCCAGCTTCTTCTCGGCCATCCCAGTCCGGCCTTCAAGGGAAAGCAAGCGAGCAGCCTGCGATTCAATCTTCCTCTCCATGGCCTGGATTGTGGCTGCCATTGTCCACGGGGAGATCTTTCAGAAATAAAGAGAAGATCAGCATCATTCATTCCCTCTACCATGCTCCTTAACTCCTACTCCCCTAGGCACGGGGGAGGTGAGATGGAGTAGGGATTCCTGTACCACATGCCAGATCTCCACCAAGCAATCACCTCCTTTGGGCATCTTAGCTACCACCCAAGAGTGGGTGAGTGGCGTTGTTCTAGGCTCAGCCGCACACGCGTATCATGGCACTTACCACCCTAGAGTCAGTTCCTTCATTGTTCTCTAAACCGTGAGACCTTTGAAGGTTGTACTGCATCTCTGCCTAACACCATGCTGGCACAGGGCAGGCACTTAGTACAATTTTGATAATAAACTATGGCTTAGGCCAGCTGGAGCATGTTGGTGGAGAAATGGTAAACCGATTTACTACAGCCCAGCCAGCACCTCCACCGTAATCACACAGGAGCCGTCCACGGATGACGACATGGCAAAACACGGCTGGTTCATGGGAACAGCACAATCGAGGAGTGCGGCTCGTTTTTTTTTTTTAAGCATCTCATGTCTCCTTTTTATAAACATAAAAATCAAATGGCCAACTCCCCTCCTTCCAGAAGAATCTCATCTTGTCTCCTCCCTAACTGCCTCCTCCTGCAAGCTAAAAATCATCATTACTGCAAATCTCACCAGCCTAGAGTTAAATGCTTTCTGATAGGACAGGAAACCCCTGAACTTCTGACTTTCCCTCTGACTACTCCCACCCTTCCCAAAGTAAAAATTACGGTCTCATGCATTTTTTGCAGCTGCACCAGGGTCTCTGACACACCCTAGAGTCTGGTCAGGAAGACTAGAAACAAGCTATGAAGCTGGGCTTTTACACATGCACAAGTCATCAGATATGGCACTCCCCTGGGCCGGGCCGTCCTGCTGCTGGGGATGGTCACAGCGACTCAGATGACCAGCTTCAGGCATCCAAAGGAAGGGCATGCTTTGCTTTGCGTGGGGGAGCTGATAACCTGACCCCCCCACATTTGAAGGTTGGACCTGTGGGTCAGAGAGGAGACCCTGATATTTATGCCTCCTTCTGTCAAGGATTAAGGATCTAGATCCGTTGCTGCCAAACCGATTCCAACTCATAGCGACCCTAGAGAACAGAGCAGAACTGCCCCATAGGGTTTCCAAGGAGTGGCTGGTGGATTCAAACTGCTGACCTTTTGGTTAGCAGTTGAACACAACACAAAATTCTGGAAATTATGACTAAATAAATGGTTGGTGACTATTTACAAAATAGCAAAGTGACTACCAGCAACTAGTGTGAATCATTTAGAGAAAGTCACTGATGGATATCTCTAAAAATGGTAACAAAATGAGCTGGACAGAGGCAGAACAAAGTGACAAGGGCAATGCTGGAGGTAGGCTGGACCAGACGACTTCTGACATGAAGAAGGCAGGGCTTCAGATGGATCTCAAAGGATGGGGAGGCTCTGGATAGGCAGAGGGCTGCCGTGAGGGAAACTGCATGTGGGTGGTGCGGCCCAAAGGCTTCATCTACCATGGGGCTGGGCCCCTTGAGCTGGCTGGCTCAGCTCTGGCCCTTGAAAGGCCACCCTGCATCAACAACCACCTTTCCTTCCCTTCCCCCACTCCTCCTCTCTGGCCAGTCCCCCGAAAAGTCTCTTTAACTTCATCACCCAGCTCCTCACCCACAGAAATCCTACTCATCCTCGAACTGCATCAACTATGTATCACAATTTTTGTTTTGTATGAAAAAGGCATCTAAAAACTCTTATTAAGAAATACTATACGCACATCGGGGCACAACCATTTTCTGCCTATTTTAATGGGGCAGGAGGCAGCAGGTATGGCTTCCGGCCATTGGGTGTGAGGCGGTGCCAGCTCCATTTACTACACGGCGGGCGGAATATTAGGATGCCCTCACAGACGGCTGCCGGAGAAGCGGGAGCTTCTGCTTGAGACGTGCTATGGGAAGGGAACTCCAAAGCCTCCAATGGCCCCTCATCCACATGATAAAGCCCACATTCTTCTCCCAGGCAACCAAACCCCTTCCAACTCTCTCTCTGCAGCTTCATCGACGACGACTTCCCTACCCAACCATCTCTTCCAGGCATGAAAGGCTCCTTCCTGTCCCTGGGCACACTCTGCCCTCTCCGAGCTGCGTGCCTTCGCCGAAGCCGTCCCACCTGCAAACCTGGGTACTTAACCCGCTGAAACCCTAGCCTTCCCTGGAAGCCCAGCTCAGCACAGGGCACAGAACGCCGCCGGGAAAGGCTGGGGCAGACAGAGGCTGCCCTTCCACTCCTTCCTCTGGCCCTGTGCAGGCACTTACCTCTTTCTGTTCTGCACTATTATTACCAGTGTACGTGTCTGTGTCCCGCACCACACATGGGTCCCTGAGCACACACTTTCTAGCTGTGTGGTCCAGGGCAAGTTATTGAACTTCTCTAGGCCTCGGGTTTTTCTTTTGTTTGATGATGATAACAGTACCTACCCCACAGGTTTGCCGTGCGGACAGACTAACCCTAACAGGGCTGGGTGCAGCGCCTGGCTCTACAAACGGCAGCAATTGTCTTCCGCGGCAGCACCGCGCTGGGCATACAGCGGGGGCTCCGTGCATGCGGATGGAAGACACCTCCAAGGTGGAACCGGCCGCCGAGGGGCAGGAAAGCCCCGGGAAGGGCGGGCGGCAGAAACCGAGATGGGTGGAGGCTGCGGATAGGGCGGGGGCAGGAAGCTCTGCGGGCCGCGGGCGCTCGGCGGGGGGCGGCC